CTTTATCTCCTCACTTTTCTCGGTGATGTCATCTACTTCTATGCCTTTAAATATCATCTATTGGCCAATCACTCCCAAATCCCTACCTCCAGCCTTCACCTTTTCCTGCAAATCAGAGTAGTTTATGTAATTACACACTTAATACCTAGTCCCATGTTTGTCTAACAGTCAAATCTAACCTGGCCTGAATAAAACTCTTCATTTCTCCGCTTCCCAACAAGCCACCTTTTCTCTTAGTCTTGCAAATAGTACCACCACCATCTGCCAGTTTCTCAAACCAAAGATTTGGAATTATCCTTGGTTCTTCTCTGCCTCTGACCTGCATATCCAGTTCATTAGCAAGTCCTGTTGACTGTCTACAAAACACACCCTAGTCTCCCCATCTCCACCAGCACCTCTCCAAACCAGGCCTCCACCATCTGGGCAGGAGTGTGAGCCTCCTAATAGTGTCCCTGCCCTCATCAGAGTGACCTTCTTAAAACAGATCAGATGTCATAACTCTGTTTAAAATCTTGCACATGGCTCCTACCACTTAGAATGAAAACCAAGTCCCCATGATCTGGCCCTCACTGCCTCACTTCCTCTCTTTGTCCGCTTTCTCCTTCACCCATAATCTAACCACCCAAGGCTCTTCTCTGGGCATCCAAGCATCATCCTACTTCAGGTCTTTTTGCATTAGAGATTCTCTCTGCCTGGAATGTTCTTCCTGTAGCTCACGTCTCCTATTATTTAGATTTCAGCTTAAAGGTACCTCCTCAGAGAGGCATCCTGTCCTGGACATGCCAGGGGAAGCAAACACCCGGTCACTCTCTGATTCATTAGCCTGTTTTAATTACCTGGGTAACAATTTTTTTGTTTTAAATATATTTTTATTGATTTCAGAGAGGAAGGAAGAGGTAGATAAAGAGAAACATCAATGTTGAGAGAGAATCATTGATCAGCTGCTTCCTGCACACTCCCTACTGGGGATGGAGCTCGCAACCTGGGCATGTGCCCTTGACTGGGAATTGAACCATGACCTCCTGGTTCTTAGGTTGGCGCTCAGTCACTGAGCCATACTGGCCAGGCTGGATAACAAGTTTTTATCGGTTATGCAGTTTGTTTTTCACTAGTGTTCTTTGTAGACTATAAGCTCCATGAAATCAGGGATCTTTGGGGACTTACTCCCCGCCGTTCTCATTCTGCAGTGGTGCCTGTCTCGCATTCGTCAAGGGCTAGTTTGCAGCTGTTGCAGGAATGAGGGAATTCAGTGGCAGAGCCAGGCCTGGGACATAGGATTTCCTTCTTTCATTTCTCCTCTAATTTATACCAGGATGTCTTTTGCCAGTGAAGCACTTCCTGGCTCCGGGTTATTGATAATCTGCTGTTTACTTAAAGGTTATGGTAACATTTCTTAAAACACTTCCAAATTATATTACCTTTAATTCATTTGCATTTCACATCTTCTTTTAAACGTCACCTTTAAGTATGATAGAAAACACCTTTACATGGCATTTTATGACCTGCATCTTTTTGGATTTTAATTTTAAAAAAACAATTTACAAATTATTTGCAAATTATGCAGTTTTTACTTCTGTCAGAGATGGGCACAGCCCTGGGCTCGGTGACAAAGGCCCAGACCTGTTTCTGCTCTTTACACAGACTTGCTGTGCTCCTTCCTGCCTTCACTTTATCTTCCAAAAAATGTTATCGTTCATCATCAAGAGCCGAGACCAAAGTCACTTCACCCAGTGGAATTTTTTTTTAAATCAAGGCTACCCAAAAGTACAACCTGGCCTATTTATTTGATTGATTTAGCCGTGGTCCTGAGGGAGGCACCGTGGTGCTGGGATGAGGTGCGGGCACTGGGACCCGCCCTGGAGCGCATAGGGCAGCCACCTCTGTGGACGGTTGGCGACGTTGGAACCAACAGATGCAGTGGCACGGTTTTAAATTGAACATGTTACTGTTCCGTTTTTACTCCTCCTGTGAATATGCTTTCTGGGCTTTATTTTGTCTTAAGACCAGGTGTCCTTTTATCTCTGGCTTTCCTGTTCCACATAAAAGGGACCGAGGAGTCCACCAGTGCTTGCGGCCCCCGACGATGCTGGGCTCTCCAGGTGCGGAACCTGCCTGCTCACTGGTTGCAGCGGATGCTGCCTCTGCCCCGAGGAGACGTGGCAAACATGCATTTGTGTGTCTCATTATAGCTACATCCAGAGTCTCACTTAATTAAATTAATTAAAAGACAGGAGTGGGCCTCGGGGCTGGAGGGTGTGAATTTTACAGTATTGGAGCTGAAAGAGGCCTTAAAGACATCCAGATAATGTCTTATTTAATAGAACCTCTATTCTTGTTTAATGTCAAGACTCCTTTTGCTGTTTGGAGGGATGTTCCTAACCTACACCATTATCCTGGATCAGGAAGTGGGTTTTATTTGCACTTAGAAAGCAAGGTTTGGGGCTTTTAATATTGTGGTTTGGGTTGTCAGTATGATACATTTTTAGTATTTTCATCATGTGCCTCATATGGGAGAGTTCTGATGAGGGGCAGAAAAAGCTGAGCTCATTTTACTTATCTTCCGTTGATTTTACTTTGAAAAACCATCATAAAACGTGGTGTTTTGCTCTTTCACAGGGGCGGGGACACAGTTTATAAGAGTTTACTCGTATTTTCATGCCAGAAATCTTGAGCTAGGGCAATTAATAGTTTTTCATAACTTTCATGGGCACAAGGATACAGTTCAGTGGCCTAACACAGCTTCAGTTAATGGAAGGGTCTGTTTATCAGGCCAAATGTCTGCATCTCCAGGAAGACTGATTGCATTCATTGTACGTTGCACATGACTAGACAATTTCCCGCAGAGGAGAAAGCCTTGGCCCTTCACACTGGCCTCTCCCTTCACTGTGAGGCAAACTCTGTTCTCTTCTTCTTATTGGCTCACACCTAAAATAAACAAGCCAGCAACCCCAGGGCCTCTTCATCTCGAATGACCCATTTCGCTCTAAGTTCATGTGTGTGCTTTGTCAATTTATGTTTCTAATTAGAATGTGCTTTCAAGTTTACATTGCCACATTGAAATGTCAGTCTCAGAGTTTTTAGTGACCACAGACAATTCTATCCGATGAATGGGTCATAGTTTATCATGTCCCCGTTGTTGGACATTTGAGAGGGTTATCAAGTTTTCACTGTTGTGGATAGTGTTGCTATGAGGAATCATTGTATAATTTTTGTCAGAAAGCAAGGCCTACTTTTTTACTGAATTTATTGGGGTAACATCGGTTAATAAAATTATATAGGTTTCGGGTGTACAGTTCTATAATACGTCATCTGTATGTTGTATTGTGTATTCACCAACCCAGGTCAAGTCTCCTTCAGTCACCATTTCCGCCGCCCCCCCCCCCCCCCAATACCCTCTTCTACCTCCTCCTAGCTCCCTTCCACCTCCCCCCAACCCCCTTCCCCTCTGGTAACCACCATGCTTTTGTCTGTGTCTATGAGCGTTTATGCTTTTTTTCCTCAATCCCTTCACCTTTTTCACCCAGCCCCACAACCCCCCTCCCCTCTGACAGCTGTCAGTCTGTTCTCTATCTATGAGTCTGTTTCTATTTTGTTAGTTTATGTTGTTTATCAGATTCCACATATGAGTGAAACCATAGGGTACTTGTCTTTCTCTGACTAGCTGATTTCACTCAGCAGAATGCGCTCCAGGTCCATCCGTGTTGTCACAGAGGGTACGATCTCCTTCTTGTGTTACAGCCGCGTAGTGTTCCATTGTGTAAATGGGCCCCAGCTTTTGTATCCACTGACGGGCACTCGGGCTGCTTGCACCCATCACGCAGGACTGCCCTTTTGCTAAGTTGACTTTGTCGGTGCTGAGACCCTCTACGTGAGAGACCCTGCCTTAGACTCCTGTATCCCCCTGCATCTTCTGCAGCTCCTCGCACACAGCACGGTCGTGTCTCTGTTTAAATATTCAGGGAGTGGCTGCACTTTAGTTTAAAATCAAATTTGTGTTAAAGACATTTGAGACGATGAGCTTCTATTTTAGTAGATAGCACATGTTATGAGCCACTCTCTGCACTCGTGATTAAGATAGGTTTGGGGGGATGAAAAAACCGTTTTTGTTATTTTCTTAATTTAGCAATTGGGCACATTTCTTAAATCCTAAGAATACTGTCACCATGCCTTTTGGAGTGTACGGTTGTACCGAGCGAGAACACTGTGCTGGCCATGGCAACAGAGAAAGTGCTGTTAGGTGGGGGGTGGGGGAGTGGGGGGTATTAAGGAGCAGCCTTCATCCCTGCTCTTTGGGATTTAATGATCCAGTTGGAGAGAAATTGTATCCGGGGCGTGCTGGGGACACAGGTTTCCTTTGGGTATTGTGGGAATCCATTATGTTAATTATCTGTGTTTCCTAGACCCCGTTACTAATAAGATAGTATTGTGTTGGTCTTTTCAAATCCGCACACAGACCTACCCAGGAAATCCTCTTGCCAGCGCGAGGCTGGGCTGTTCACCTTGATAACGCCTTTGGTGGCTGCATTTCCAGGTCATTTGTGTGGGGCTTTGTTGAAAGGCTGCTCCCTCTGCCCGCGTCCCATCTGCCCCGTCCTCCTGGTGTACAACTCCTTGGCAGCGCCCGCTTCTCTGGGCTCTGGGGACCCTGGCTCAGTTTGCCTGAGTGTAGATAAAGATGCTCCGTGGAGTCAGTCTGTGAAAAGGAAGGTGAGGAGACTAGGGGCAGATGCTGTCTTTGTCGGGGACGATGGCCTTCCTGCCACAATCCTCAGCGTGCTCTCCGTGGTGATGCAGATGAGAATTTCGGCAGCGCAAGTGGGAGCAGAGCCCAGGCTGCTGTTCTCGTGCATATTTGTTCTGGGAGCCCATGGTCTGTGGACCCGGCGCTTCCCCACCACCTGCCCTCTCCTTGCTTCCTTCATCCCAGCTCTGTTCCTCTGTCAGATGGTCCCATTGTTAAGGCAAATCTCATGCATGCATTTTTCTCTCTCCTCCTGCAGGGGAGCTGCTGAGTCAGCCCAGACCGGAAGGAGTGGCCGAGATCATTTGCCCCAAGAACGGCAGTGAGCGAGTGAATGTTGCCTTGGTTTACCCACCTACACCGACTGTGATCAGCCCCTGTTCCAAGTGAGTTCTGAACGTGGGTCGCCCCTGCCCCTCACTCCTGATCCTGCCTCAGTAGTTGTGATGAACAAAAAGCCAAATTCAAGTATATCTCAACAGACCTTATAAAGTGCCCCTCCCCCCCCCCCAGAACAGACCTAGTTATCTAGGTGACATCAACACTGTGGCTTATGTAGCAAACTAGGAGCTTTTATTTTTTTCTTATTTGTGACTTTTTTTAACCTTTGCTGAAGAAAAAAAAAAAGTCAGAGCATTTTTGACAACTTTTATTGAGATATCATTTATATGCCATACAGTCCACTCATCAAACGTGTATAATTCATTTTTTGCAGCTAAATGCAATCAAAAAAAGCATTGTTTTCATGGGTAGTCTTAATTCTGTCATTGCAGAAGTAAGTGGGCCCACAAATTTTTGTGCACCGGGCCTCTATCTATAATATAAAAGCGTAATATGCTAATTAGACTAGACGTCCTTCAGCCGGGGCTGCGAGGGAAGCCCGAGTCCCGGGTGCCAGAGGGAAGCCGGTGCCGGCAGCCAGGGGAAAGAAGGCCTACTCTTGCATGAATTTCGTGCATCGGGCCTCTAGTTAAATGAGAAAAGCTTGCAGAAAAGCGGTAGTAGGTTACTTTTCCTCTGGGCCTTTGGTTCTGTATCAGTCCTTGGTAGTCAGAGGCTGTGTTGTCTGCTCTCATCTTCCCCAAAAGGGACTTAAAGACAGAGAATGCACCTGTGTGAATTAACTTTTTTTTTTTAATCCTCACTCGAGGATATTTTTCCATTGGTTTTTAGAGAGAGAGTGGGAAAGAGAGAAAAACGTCAATTGGTTGCCTCCTGACCAGGGCTTGGGCCAGGGAGGAGCCTGCAACCAAACTGAGGTACATGCCCTTGACCGGAATCGAACCTGGGACCCTTTGGTTCACAGGCCGACGCTGTATCCACTGAGCCAAACTGGCTAGGGCTGAATTAACTTTTGGATACAATGTTAACTTAGTATTATAGATAAAACTCATCTTTTTTTCTTTTTCTTTCTTTCTTTTTTTTTTTGGTAGTATTAAGAACTAAACCGTGAAACCACTTTTCAACTGAGATGAAATGCATTCTTACCACAAATCTTGTCTTCTTGGAGAGATCTGGTATCTTGGGTGCTGTCACTTCAGCAAAGTATTCATGCCGGAAACCTGCATTTTTCCTCCTAGTTGACCACATGGAATTTTTTTTCATATGTAAGCTTTTTACAGGGAGGTTGGGAAGTTCACATGTGAGGATGGTGACCCGTCATCTCCTCTGGAGAAGCTTGCTGCCAGGCTGGGTTGGGGAGAGCTGTGTCCCTGGGGTGTCGGCTCTCCTGCCTTTGGGGGGCTCTCTGAGGAGGGAGGGGCCTTCATTGTCACACTCATTCGGCTCATTAGACAGAACACCTCCAACCCCTTTTCCTGGGAAATAGGAACACTCACAGAAACACATATCTAATTTCAATATATTCAGAATGCTGTTTTAGCTAACACAATAGAGACAGTGTGATGCCTCGCCAATATGCCCCTAAGACATTGTCAGATCTTGAAGTGCTTCTTAAATATTAAGTCGAATTACACAGTAACTTCATATTAACCAGAAAATCCCCAGTCCGGAACCTATCAGACCACAGAAATTTTCCTGGTCTTTGAATGGGTCCCTTTCTTTCAGATACACTGGGGTAAGGACACGGGGACAGTACAGACACAGCAGGTGTGGGAGGGGGAGAAACAGTTGTTCAATACACTTTGCATTGGTGTAGACTTTCCTGAGCCAGGAGAGGCATTAGCCTATTGCTTTGCCCTAGCCACGTGGCATTTAATGGGCAGGAGAGAGCTAGGACTCACATATCCATTTGCAGGAGAAACCGCCGTGGCCCGGAGCCAGCTTTATCAGTGTTTTCCCAGGGGCTTCTTGTTGTCCTGCCACAGAAAGACACTTACACCAACCTGGAAAAATGCTATCAGCCCCGTCTCTCCCCATCTCTCCCACAGTTTATTATACCTAAATGAACAGGTCTTTAAAGTCCCGAGTAACCAGAGCCGCCTCGCCTCAGACATCTAGATGCTGGAGGGAATGCCCTTAGGATTGAACTGCTGTTGGCCTCGCTCTGTGAATGGTTTTATTTTGAAATGGATTTTTTTTTTGAAGGCCTCATACAGTGGATGGCAGGTTTGGAGTGTAGGTTTCTATTCTAAATGAAGGAAATCTGTGAAAACAAACACATCCAGGCCAGGCCCAGTGGGAGGTCTAATTTACAAGTAGATGACAATATATTGGAAGCAGGAGATTTAGGAGACAATGAGGAAAGCTGTTCCAGGAGGTGGGCATTACATCAGCACAGCTGTGGGCTGATGAGCCTGGGAGTTAGACTTGGAGCCCAAATGGGCAGGAGAAATAGGGAGACCAAGGGGGTGGGGGTGGGGGGTGGGGGATGGCCTTGCAGCTTCAGCCAAGTTAACTTAAGCAGGTCACTGTAGAGTGATCTTTGACTTCTGTCACCCCATAAAATGCAGGTGGATGGCTCTAAGTGTGGGTCCCCTGGCCAGGGGGCCTCACTGAGCAAAATTGAGCCATGCTGCCTGGATGAGCACACCCATTCCACCCCCAATTCACTTTTAGAGCTGAACATAATTTATTGTTCAAATCAGGGAAGGATTGAGAGTGGCAGGCGGGCTGTTTAATTATTACACCAGGATGCCAGGCATCAACCAGAGCTGTCCCCGGCAGACCAGAGTAATCACCCTGCTCTCGGGTCACCGATCTAGACCTTAGCATGGTTTTTAAAAAGACATTCCAAGCTCTTCTTTGACCAGTTTACTCCTCCCCTTTATTGGCCAAGTCAGAGACTGGTCATGCAGCTGCCTGCCTTTGACCATGTGTACACGGTGGTGCTCAGTGAGCTTAATGAAGAAAATCCACTGAGGACTGATTTGATCGGATATTCCTTATGAATTCTAAGCTTTTCCATTGCTCATTTACAAATGTTCTAGGTGTTTTCTTCCCGAGTCGGGAGAGACAGAGAACAGAGCAGGGAGTGATTTATTCTGGCTTGTCTCAGTGGTTGGTGGCTGAGGTCTGGACAGACATTGCCCTGGCGAGAGGTTACCTGTCCTGGAGGAAATGAAGCACCTCTGCTCCTGCACCTCGGCCTCCAGGGGGACATCTCCAGGGGGACACCGAGGGGCTGATTATCAGAGAGAGATACAAGCCATTTCCATACTTTGCCCTTTGGGGCTGATTTCCAAAGATTTGCATTTGAGTTGAGATGAAAATTTATCCAGCAGCAAGTTTGCTGGGTTGCTCTAAAAAATTCGGACCTTCTTAAGGGTACATTTCTTAAAGCTTTATTGAGATAGACTTTCATACCATAAAACTGGCCCATTCAGAGATTATGAAGATATTTGCAACTGACAACATAGTTTAATTTTAGAACATTTTCAACACTCCAAAGAGAAACCTCTGGCCCATTTGTGATCACTTGTGTTTGGTATAACACCTAGCTCCCTGCAGTCAGTACACATTTTTAGTAGCACGTTCAGGAATGGCTTTGCTGCCTGTTGTGATGGTATTAAACAGATTTGTAGTTTTAACGAATTTCTTATAAACACCTGTTATCCCTGGTCCCGTTCAGTCTAAAGGCAGTGAGTTGATTTGCACCCCCCCACTCCTCCCCCACCCCCGCCGCCAGTTTACTGGACAAAGGGGAATTAGAGCTGCTTGGAGGGAAGTTGTTTTTTGTTTTTGTCTTTTTTTTTAAGTATAGGTAGCAATTTCAAACATAGATTTTATTTTTTAGAGCCATTTAGGTTCATAACAAAATTGAGCAGAAGTTACAGAGAGATCCCATATGCCCTTTGCCTCTGCACATGCACAGCCTCCCCACCATCCCCATCCCCATCCCCATCCCCACCCCCACCCCCACCCCCACCCCCACCAGCGGGCACATTTGTTACTGTTACTGTTGATGAACCTGCGCTGACATGTAATCACCAAGTCCACAGTTTATATTGGAATTCACTCTGTGCATTCTGT